CACACACACACACACACACACACACACACACCCCGTATTTCTTCTCTTCTCTAGCTCGCTTCCTAATCTAGTTGTCTAATAAAACTGACATTATGCAAATATTGTTGGCTCATTGATGAATTGCCTTGTTCCTCTTTTTGTAAGTGGCTTTGGATAAAAGCCTCTGCTAAATACATAAACAAAGACTGCTGTGAACCACTGAACTTGCACTCGTACCCGCCGATGCCCGAGGTGTGGGGATGGATGATGCCCAGGCAGAATGAAGCGGCTATGGCGGCATCAACGCTGGACCCCTGTTTGCCCAAAACATCAAAGCCCAGAGACGTGCAGCGGGCCACATCCGTCACCACCGCGGCTTGATTATACACCTGAGGACAGAAGAGACTAAAATAAGGAACAGTTCTGTCCTGTAACAGTCATGGCCTGTCACAAGGTTCATTTTGTATTATTTTGTCGCGCTATGTTCCTCCGGACCATTAGGTGGCACTAGTAGCTCTACCATTTCTGTATAAAGGAAGGAAGCAGTACAGTGAGAGAAAGACTCAGTTTGAACTCCACATGGTTTCTTGCTGTGCTACAAACAATCCTGGTTTGAGAAACCGTAAGTTTGATGTTTTATTTTCACACTTTGTTGTATTTTGAAGGATCTTGGTGAAAGCTTATGAAGGTTATTTTGCAATGATTTAAATACCATGTTTGTTTGGTTTATGGACTCTGACTGGTTGTTCTCTTTTCGAGAGGATTTTTGTTTTGCCTCTTCTTGAGCTTAATTGCTGCAATACATGCTGATGCCTGCATGTTTACAACCATACTGCTGTGTGGACGAACAAATTTGGCATTCTTTTGAGTGCATTATTGCAACTGCTCAAGGATTATACCCAAAGCGTTCCCAGCCTCCTACTTCAAGGACTTCTACACTACAGAGATCAGCTCATCACATAAGACCGTTGACTTATTCATGCACTGCAACCATTGACCTGAACTGGTTTGGCTAATCTACAGCTTATGAAACATTCCACACTCAAGCCTTTGCACATTTCCATCGTTTCATTACTTATTTAGTTATTTTTTTTTATATGTCAGCCCCTGTGCGAGTTTGTTTGTTTGTGCTTTGTAAATATTGAGTGAAAAATACACATTTGGAAAATGATATTTATACTGTTTTGGGTCTTTATGCATTTAACTCAGAACGTACACCCTAGAACCAATTAGACACTTTGCAAAGAAACTGGTCCCCTCTTTTTCTGGTATAGCAATCCCAGTTTTGAATAGCTGGGATGGTTATAGTCCTATTGGAAAAAAATTTCCCCCCTTATTTTCACCTATTTTATCTTTCACCCTCCAAAATGCGTAAGTAGTACTCAATAGCCAGGTTTTCATCCAAAGCTGCAAAATTGAAATATCACAAACATTTGTGAATAACCAGTTTCCATCCGAGTCAAAATCGTCACTTTCTGATAAACTGCCATTAAATATCACTAAGAAAAGTAGGAGAACCCAATGAATACAATAATTTTGTAATATAATAAACTACTTGTGCCTGAGAGCGAGCAAATGAAATGCAATAAATGCTGTCATTGATTTCGGAGGTGGGTGTTGCTGTTTGGGAAAGCAGTCGTAGTTCTGGGAGGCAATTCTACAGAAATACTTTGAAGACAGACTTTGTTCGGAATGACCATAACAACGTTTCAGATGCTGTGCAAGATCCATCCCATCATGCAAAGTCACATGACTTTTTTTGATGCGCATGGAGGAATTTGCAAAATGTGTTTCCATCTCCCATTACTTGTATTAACCCTTTTTCGCACAAGTTGAAATGTTGTAGTACTTCACAGCACCTGTGGGTCTCCAAAGTAGATCTGCATTATGAGGGCTACGGTGACCCCCGTGGCGAAGGTCAGGCAGGCGGTGATGATGACGGTCAGCCCGTCACGTGTGCAGGCACAATCCTGTGCTAGCGGATCTCTGCTGGTCTCTCTCAGTGGAGAGACGTCCCGACTGGCTGAGGCAGAGGAGGGCAGCCGCTGCAGTCGGGCTGACTTCAGGAACAGATCAGGGTCTGCACACAGAGACAGGACAGAATTTAGGCCACTGCGTGGAGACTACGTCAGACAGCACTATGATCAAATGCTTTACCTGTGTCCTGCTCACTGAGGAAGTTATCATCATCTCTGCGTGATTTGAGAGTGTTGTCGGCTGAAACATCATCTTCTGGTAGTCTAGGGAAGCTGGTGATGCTCATGTAGTCCACAGGTGAGTACGCACTGCTCAGAGCCGCATCCTTCTCCACCACCGTCACTCCCGTATCGGCTGCCGGAGTGTACATGATTTACCTGAAATCACCAACTGGAATTCAGCGCAATTCATTAAGCTGGAAAATCATAGCACTGTTATATACAGTGGTGTGAAAAAGTGTTGGCCCCCTTCCTGATTTCTTATTATTTTGCATGTTTGTCACACTTTAATGTTTCAGATCATCAAACAAATTTAAATTATTAGTCAAAGATAACACAAGTGAA